TCTTGCACTGAAACTTGGGATGAGATTTTGAGATTGAGATCTTCAGACTTGATATGACCATGGAGGAATTAGTTTATGACTGATATACTGTATGTTACCCAGATCGATCTGTCATCACTACAGCAGGGCCACTGCCAAGCAAAGAATTTAAACAAAGGCTGGAGGCTATTCCGAGAGTTTTTTACAGGATTCAGTCCTTGTTTGATAATGGCTATAGATAAGTGACATGACTACTGAGTGGAACCTTGCGCCATATTTGTCGATGACAGTACTAAATACAGCAGTGTACTTTTTGATGTTCTACATACCCAGTACATCGTTTGCGCACCACTCATCGTTGAAAGATGATGTCACGCACATTCTGGCACTTCATTGGGTGATGGTGACGTAATGCCATTTACTGTACCTTTAGCAAATTGAATAAAAAATACAGTACCTTATCTCTGGCCACATGGTTTTTTTTTTTTTATAAGAACTAGTAAATTTTTTTCAGACTCAAAATGTTCTTATTTTGTTCTTGTTTTTAAACACTTTTCAAGCATAGAAAATTATTTTTGTACATCAGTATATTACTGTACTGTTATGTAGATGGCATAACATAATATAGTCACACCTACTGCAAATATGGTACAATAAGATTTGTTGGTTTTTTATTTTTTTTTCAACTAAAACCCTAATCTGAAATTTCAATTTGTTCTTATGTTGTTCTTAATTTTTAGGCAATTTCAGCCTCGCTGTTCTTACAAAATGTGTCCTTATGAAAAAAAGAAGTGTAGCGTTGTCGGCTAGTGGGAAAATGTGTCCTTATGAAAAAAAGAAGTGTAGCGTTGTTGACTAGTGGGCCTGGCTGTCAGTTGTTGTTTCAAAATCATTTAAAAAACTCACATGTACGAATACTGCGCAGGGTTCAGATTGTGTATTGTTGACATTAACTTATACTGTATTATTAGAATTTGATCCCACTGAGTTAGGGGGGTGTGGGGGGAGACACTATAGTGATGTTTTAAGTCATCGGAAAATTAGCAATGATAAAAGAAAGGGCATGTGTGTGGTATGCTGTCTGTAGCTTCCATGGACAAGATAGCAATTATTAAGGGTTCCAACAATTTAAAAACTAATGTTACTAATTGAATTGGTCTTTATTAGTAAATTAACAGGTTAAATAATCAGGCCAGGCCTGCCTCGGTATACAGGTTCTAGTCTAATGCGTTGCTGGGCTATTTAAGTCCTAACCTTCTACCCAGCCTCATGGCCTACAGTTATATTGAATATTGATTGCAGGCTGGAAATTAAGGGTTATTTGGTCCTGATTGTTTTAAAGAGTGACAAGGAATTTACTTGGTCACGCTCACTGTGACTGTGCTCACTGTGTCATTTCTTTTCATAAGCGCCAGAAAGGTTTCCAACCAAATTGCAATTGTTTACAACTTGTGCAGCCCCATAATTATCAGTCAGGCAGTATGCAAAACAATCTATCATTCATTCTATGATATCAACCAATCAGCATGAGCTACTGTTAAAGTGTGACGTCGTACCCTAAAGCTGTGTCTCTTTGGGTCAAGAAAGATGTGTATAAGAGACAGACTGTACTGTTATGTAGATGGCATAACATAATATAGTCACACCTACTGCAAATATGGTACAATAAGATTTGTTGGTTTTTTATTTTTTTTTCAACTAAAACCCTAATCTGAAATTTCAATTTGTTCTTATGTTGTTCTTAATTTTTAGGCAATTTCAGCCTCGCTGTTCTTACAAAATGTGTCCTTATGAAAAAAAGAAGTGTAGCGTTGTTGGCTAGTGGGCCTGGCTGTCAGTTGTTTCAAAATCATTTAAAAAACTCACATGTACGAATACTGCGCAGGGTTCAGATTGTGTATTGTTGACATTAACTTATACTGTATTATTAGAATTTGATCCCACTGAGTTAGGGGGGTGTGGGGGGAGACACTATAGTGATGTTTTAAGTCATCGGAAAATTAGCAATGATAAAAGAAAGGGCATGTGTGTGGTATGCTGTCTGTAGCTTCCATGGACAAGATAGCAATTATTAAGGGTTCCAACAATTTAAAAACTAATGTTACTAATTGAATTGGTCTTTATTAGTAAATTAACAGGTTAAATAATCAGGCCAGGCCTGCCTCGGTATACAGGTTCTAGTCTAATGCGTTGCTGGGCTATTTAAGTCCTAACCTTCTACCCAGCCTCATGGCCTACAGTTATATTGAATATTGATTGCAGGCTGGAAATTAAGGGTTATTTGGTCCTGATTGTTTTAAAGAGTGACAAGGAATTTACTTGGTCACGCTCACTGTGACTGTGCTCACTGTGTCATTTCTTTTCATAAGCGCCAGAAAGGTTTCCAACCAAATTGCAATTGTTTACAACTTGTGCAGCCCCATAATTTTCAGTCAGGCAGTATGCAAAACATGTTATCATTAATTTTACATGTACTGTATCAATCAATCAGCATGACCTAGACTGTTAAAGTGTGACGTCGTACACTAAAACCGTGTCGATGTGCACTCATCTTATTCTTGGTAAATAAGCGATCACCATCAAAGCGAAGGAGACTGGTGAGTTTGGTACAGGATTCAGTCCTTTTGTTTGATAATGGCTATAGATAAATGACATGAATACTGAGTGGAACCATACACCATATTTATCGATGACAGTACTAAATACAGCAGTGTACTTTTTGATGTTCTACTTACCCAGTACATCGTTTGCGCACCACTCATCGTTGAAAGATGATGTCACGCACATTCTGGCACTTCATTGGGTGATGGTGACGTAATGCCATTTACCGTACCTTTAGCAAATTGAATAAAAAATACAGTACCTTATCACTAGCCACACAGTTTTTTTTTTTTTTTTTTTTATAAGAACTAGTAAATTTTTTTCAGACTCAAAATGTTCTTATTTTGTTCTTGTTTTTAAACACTTTTCATAATTTTTGTACATCAGTATACTGTATTACTATACTGTTGTTTAGATGGCATAACATAATATTGTCACACCTACTGCAAATATAGTACAAAAAGATTTGTTGGGATTTTTTAAATTTTTTCTAACTAAAGCCCTAATCTAAAATTTCAATTTGTTCTTATTTTGTTCTTAATTTTTAGGCAATTTCAGCCTTGCTGTTCTTACAAAATGTGTCCTTATGAAAAAAAAATTGTAGAGCTGTGGGCTAGTGAGTCTGGCTGTCAGCTATTGTTTCAAAATCTTTTAAAAAACTCACATGTGCGTACAGTAAACTGCGCAGGGTTCACATTGTGTAGTATGGCCTAGAAATCCGTCTTCGGATTACAGAAAATAAGAACCAATTTTCCCGCAGATGTTGCCGAAAATTAGGCTTTTACCTACTGTACCTAATTTTATTTTAAGCAATTGTGGTAAAATGTTACATTTCAATTTATTTATTGTTGACATTAGCTTATTACTGCATTTTTAGATTTTGATCCCACTGAGTTTTTTTTTGATTGGGGGGAGGGAGATAGTGATGTTTGAAATCATCAGAAAATCAACGATGATAAAAGAAAGGGCATGTGTGTGGTATGCTATCTGTAGCTTCAATGGAAAAGATAGCAATTATTAAGTGTTCACAACCCCTTTAAAAACTAATGTTACTAGTTGAATTGGTCTTTACTAGTAAATTATTACAGGTTAAAGAATCAGGCCAGGTCTGCATAGTATACATGTTTTAGTCTACTGCTTTGCTGGGCTATTTAAAGCCTAACCTTCTACCCAGCCTCATGGCCTACAGTTATATTGAATATTGATTGCAGGCTGAAAATTCAGGGTTATTTGGTCCTGATTTTTTTTAATTGTGACAAGGAATTCATTTGGTCGCGCTCAGTGTGAAAAGATCATTCGTTTTTATAAGCACTATAAAGGTTTTTAACCAAATCACAAATGATTACATCTGGTGCAGCCACATAATTTTAGGCAGTATGCAAAACAATGTATCATTCATTCTGTGATATCAACCAATCAGCAGGAGCTAGACTGTTAAAGTGTGGCGTCGTACGTCCCTAAAGCTGTGTCTCTTTGAGTCAACAACTGATGTTCACTCATCTCGTGTTCTTGGTAAATAAGCGATCTCCGTCAAATCGAGCAAGACTGGTATTAAAATATCGGCTTGAACAAATTTTCCTTAATTTGTTTGTTCGTAAAATAGAATGCTGATATTTCAAACGATTGTCTTTTGACTTCTTATAGTTATACGATGGACCAGTAGCAAGCAATAACAAAAATTTAACACAAAATACATCGTAAAATGCATGTAGACATCATCTGGATTAACTGAAAATTATATTAGGCTCCTTCAAACAATGGTTGATGATACAGTAATTTCATCCGGACTTTATGGGGCAGCTGTGGTTTAACAACATGTGTCTCCATGAGCAACATCCTCAAATTTACAAAAATCAAAAATGAAAAAAAATTTTTTTTTAAATATTTGAGAAATATAATTAAGTAAAGTAATATAGAAAGCAATGGCTTTATTGAAAATATTTTGGGTGATTACTCCTTTACTACCATTCATTTACTGAAGAAGCCACTTCTGACCTACTTTTGTTCGTACCGGCGGCATACAAAGAGTCAAATGACTTTGTGCCTGGTGACCATTATTTCAGTGTCCACCATGAAGACCTATGACTGTATAGATCACTTTCTCATTTGCTGGCCTTTTCAGTGCAAGATACAAAATCTAGATTCAGTACTTGTCATAAAATGCTTTTTCGATGGGCTTAAATCAATTCAAATAATTACTGGGCCGGTATTTTAGGAACTGTAACTTCACCTAATTTACATGTCAACAAGGATGCGAAGGGCCTCCCCCCCCCCCCCATGGAACATGGCAGGGAAATTGTTGTAAAAGGCTCTGTATTTTGCTCCCAAATGAAGAGGGAATAGCCGCATTTATTCTAACTTTTTGGCAAAGGCCAAGTCGCTGATGCGCACTCCTCGCGTAAATCTGGGTATCTATAACCAAATAGACATCTAGGTTAGGCTCACATATGCTTCAGGTTTAAACTGTCTGTCTATTAAAGAAATGAAAATGTCCAAGAAAACGTTTTTGATCACGTGACAAATGACGCTCGCTGATTAGTCGGTTTATTTGTCAATCAAATATTGTCGAGATACTAATTAGCGTAAGGTCTGGTCAATCTACGTCACTATTCTTTATACAAGTAGAAGTACTTTATACAAGTATACCTTCATTTTAAAAACGATTTTAGAGGCGATGCTCTTGCTAATTATTGAAAGATAACACAAATATTGATGTATTTTCGTAGACTATTGCAAAAAAAGAAGAAAATATTAAAATATAAGTATGCCCATGCAATTTTCTTAGTAAAGAGTATGTGAAAAACGTGGGGAAAAAAAATTGGCCGGGAGTCATGTTAACAAAACGGTAGTGTTGTCATGTATGTTTTAATTAATGGAAAACTCAACAATTTGTCATAAGTTTGGCTTAGAAATTATTCAAGTTGGCTTGGGCAAGTTTAACTGTATTTTTACTTTCTAAGCTGCAAATAACAGTCTGAATCTGTAGGCTTATTATAACTTTTTCTCAATCCTTGTAGATTGATCTGTTGTAAAAATGAGTGACAGTATGGAAGGAGACACATCAGAAGGTGAGTTAACTTTAATAAGAAATAATTAAATTTGAAAATTATTTTTAATCCACTGTATATAGATAAGTGTCCTGAATTTCTTCAGTTAAAAAAAGGACAAGTTTCATACCAATTGAGAAAGGTTGAAGTTCAGCAGGGGATATATATAGGACCATCATTATTTCCATACCAGTTATAGCATTAATAATGATGATGATGATGATGATGATGATAATAGTTGGAACACTTTAATATTAACAATCACACATTGTTATCTACTCTAACACACTAATTGGAATCGCAGGTCTGGCACAAAAGTATAATGCAATAAAATATATTAACTGTATTTCTCAAAATGTGTGTGTGTTTGATTGAAAATCTACATTGAATAATGAATATAGGAATAATAAATAATTGTTGTTCTATGCTATGTTAAATTTGGCAAGATTTTCACAATTTCTTAAACAGATGATGAAGAAGAACTGGAAAATTTAACCAGCAAGAGAAAGGTGAAGCATAAAGGACCTACTAACAAAATTAAGAAGGCAAAGACAATTGTTCTGTCAAACCTAGGTATGTACTGGTCGTCTTCAAGAACGACCCAATTGTCACACGGCCTCTGTGAACCCGTCTGACAAGAGGTCCGAACATGTATTTACAGGAGACACAAAGAATCATCAAACAAATAATTATCAAATACTTACTTATTTATTACAGGGTAGGTGCACCAACCAACTTTACGTTGGGGAATCAAGTTCACATGCATATCAAAATTTGAAAAAAACAAAGTTTCCTGTCTAAGAAAAGACCATGTTTCATTTCTTCAAATACAAACTGTTAATGAAATATGAAAAATGCATCTATAATTTAACTCCACGTTTTTCACTCACCATTGCCTCACTATCTAGGCTGATATAATAGAAAGAATACTGTAAAGCCTTAAATTTTTGCGATTTCACGATTTGAAACATTTCGCGTCCTTTTATTTTCGCGATATAATCTACTTGGAAAATGGAATTTTGCGATTTACCACCACTGAAGAAAACAAATTTCCCGATTTTTTTTCCAGTTGATTTTTATCATGCAAACAATAAGATGGTAAGCTTTAGAACCTAGTATTTATATCGCTCAATAGAATGCCATAATTTCTAGGTCTTGCAAGGCTATTAGTATTCCTAGACCAACACTATGCCATATTTGTACTAGTGGTAGTAGTCTTGTTTTTAGGTTAGGCCTAGGCTATCTACATGATACCTGTAACTTGCACATTCGACTAGCCAGCTTCTTCTGGCTACCACAATGAAATGTATTTTTCCGCTGGTCAGCTCTAGGGAAATCCCCATTACTTGCTAGAGGGTCGCGCTACGTAAAACTTTAAACATCAATTTAGTTTAAGTTAAATAAAATCTAATAAAATCTAATACTTATTGAGTATATTTAGCTATTTTAAGCAATCATTCTATTATTTTAGTGACTAATAACAGTCAGTATTAGGCTAATGGTAATTCTAGGCCTAAGTCATTAATACTCACAGCCCACTGTGCAAAGCATGCACCATCACGCACTACGTTTATAAACAAAAAACAGATGACGTAAGCCTTTCTTCAATTAATTTCCAGTAAAATAATTATTACAACTTCAAGAAAACTCGTGTTTTTATAGCATAAATTAATTTTACAAGCTTTTACTCTGAAATTATAGCAGTATCATTATTCTTTCTATAACGGTACAAGCCACCGGGAACCAGACGTCAAACAGCAAGTTTCACCAGCCCACGTGTGTTTTGTTGCGACACCGTAAATGAAGCTGCTCACGTGACCTCAAGGACCACACTCCCGAAACCGAAAAGTAGTTTGTTTATTTGTTTTGAGCGAAGCGATTTCGAATAGAAACAGCATGTTTTTATGAGTGAACGTAATTATGAAAATAATTAGACAAACCAAACCATTGCTTGAATGTCGTAGAAAATGTAGTAGGAATCCTAGTACTGTACAGCACTGTAGTGAGTATATTTACAAATACTAGGCCTTCCAACCCTAGGCTAATTAATTGGGCTAGCATAGGCCCAAGCTAGACACTGTGACAGACAACGCGAGATTTTCGCTGCGGCTGGCGATCTGAACTTTTTGGGAGTAGGTTAACGACCGGTGTATAGGCCGCACCTCAAACTTCGGGGGGAAATCGCGTATAAAATTTGCGGCTTATACCACCGGAATATACAGGTTATTGAGCAAAAACTTTTTTCATGATTTTAAGGGTGGGCTGGAGGGTTTGTATGAGGCTGGGCGAAAGTCCTTAAAAATAGCTTTAGGATGGGCACAAGACGTCATAGACTGGGCGGCTCCGCCCACCTCCGCCCTGCATAATGAGATCCCTGATATAAGTAGCACATCTTTATTATGGAAATCACGTTTTACAATCGTTTTTGACAAAATATAATTTTTGAGATTTTCGTGCGCCCTTAATTTTCGCGATCGTTGTTCAATCGCGAAAATTAAGGGCACGCGAAAATTTAGGGCTTTACAGTAATCACTTCGTTAGCATCACTTATTGCTCATCACGGTTTTGTATGTGTAGCTATGATACACGCAATATCCTATCATTTCAATTTTCTGTTTAATTTTTAAAAAAAACCTCACTCTTTATCACTAATATTAACTGTCATCATGGAATTTCATCACTAATATTAACTGTCATCATCGAATTTCATCACTCATATTAACTTTCATCATGGAATTTCATCACTATTATTATACGTTTTCTAATCATCTCAAAGAAATACTACTGTAATTAACAAGTAGTAATAGTTACACATTAATTTTTTAACAATACAACTTATCAGTACAGCTCTTCCATCAAATATTACGTTATAAAATAGAATAACCATTGGTTACCAGTTTAAACATTACTAATTATCCTTATAGCATTTAAACTATCACAGAAGTTTCAATCGTCTTCATTAAATATATATATCTGTATACGTAGCAAATATCTGGATACCCTGGATATAACGTAACGTCTCCTTATTTTTATTGGTAGCAAACCGTTCGTTAAAATGACAAAAAATTAATTAAACATCTAAAATTATATGTCACCTGTGACACCAATAAAGGTCAAAACATTAAATCATGGTCTCCCTGTCATTATTCGGGGTAACTTTCTTTTTATGTTATTTAAATATAATCAATACATCTGTTGGTTTTACAATTTAAGTTATTAATAAACAATGTATGTTTTTGGGGTAACTGGTGTCCTATGAATTTTATTAAAAATTAACATTTTTTTCATTCAAGAATTATTATTATAATTTTATGTTAGAACAAATAATGTATATTTTCACTGTTGTTTTTAGGCACATGTGCCAATGATTGGCAATAGTGAATATATCACTGTCCCATTCATAGGTGGCAATCCATTTCACAAAACAAACATTTAACGTACATAAGCTGGGTTTCTTTATGAAGTTTAGGGAGTGGAGAAAATATCCTGGTGTTTTGACCCATGACCCTGGAATTGGAAAGCAAGTTTCTTAATGACCAAGCTAGTACAGCTTCACTTGCATTCAGCATGTTCAGGGGTCTAAGATCTTGTGCGAGTCGCAAGAGTCTCATAGAAATCCGAAAGACCTTGCATGAGCAGGCAAGAATGTCACAGAAAATAACCCATCTCCCACAATTCATGATATATTCATTTTATGTTTTATCAATTGTCTCTCAACTGGGTAAAGAATGGCCTCATTCAGATTTAGAATCTGAGTATATCCCTACCTTGAATCCGCTATAGTGAAGTATTAACATAACACAATTTAGTATATTTATTAATACATTACTTCCAGAAATCTCTGATGATGAATACCGTGAGCTGTTGCAGGATATATCAGAATGGTATGATGGAAATGGCTGTATTGGTATGCTGAAAGTATTGTACAAAGATCATGTGACTAATGCTAATACACTACATAATGCTACAAAAATGCGCGACTTGCTGGACAACTTGCATAATTCTGGACATCTGAGTCCAACTGATCTTAGTATTCTGTATGACACCGTAAATGTAACAAAACAATTTGGTTTCAAACCAAAGAATAAGAAGCTGCTTCCATTATTTCAAAATGTTAGAAGTTTTGAAATATCAAAATTTACATCGCACAGGCAAAAGCTTGTAAAATTAGGAATGGCATTGATTCAAGAGGATGTAGCAGCACTCGATAGTTTGTTTAACACCCAACGAAAGAAATATGAAGACAGTTGGCATTTGATAAAGGATCTGGAGCACAGAACAGTAATTTGTGAAGGAAAAATGATGGCATTCATTAAAAAGTTGAGTAAATTCCAACTCCATTTGGCTGTGAAAGCTCTTACAGAAGGTAAACTTTTATATTGGATCTATATTAATTAATTAATGGTTGTTATAAATACTTTAGAGACAACACTACCGACTAAGGCATGGGGTCAAATGCAGTGAAATGTAATCAATTACAAATTGCAATTACTCCTGTTTTCCGATTACAATTACCTGTATAATTACTTTCTTTTTCCCCATTACAATTACAATTACATATTTTCTCAATTGCAATTATAATTACATTTCTCTTTTTAATTTTAAGACAATATCACAAAAAAAAAAAAAAAAATCTTTTTTAATCACACCAATATATCAAACAGATATTTAGACTTGTTCTATGGAGTAGATACACAGTAATAATACCTTAGGCTTTAGTAAAGGAATAGAATTTGAATAAAAGTAAACAAATATCGGCCTGAAATATGAAAACATCTGTATAAATCAACAAACCCTACCTGTTTAAACTAACCGTTGGTCATATTAAGCATTTGGAATAGAACCTTTTTTTGTTATTTTACACCATAGCGTTTCACTAACCTGTGTTTACTACTGCTGCTGTTGTGTTTACTGGCTGTTAAATAGCCATCTTGAAGAAAGACACTTGGTAACTTTAATAGCTCTAATATTATTAAATTTAATATTTATTATTTATTAGTAATAAATAATAAATATTAAATTTGAAGAAAATTGGAAATTAATCTATAAAAAATTACATCAGTTTCTTATTACATTAATTAATGGACAAATGGCAGAGGATCTGAAGTTGAAAGTCTTCTGGGCTTCTGTGTGGCATGCGGGACACGACAAAAAAAAATCACCATGTAAATAGCATGATTTGTTCCGCATTAAATAAAATCACATGATCAGGACTAAATGTTTGATATAATATCCCATCATGTTGACTGGTAACATTAACAACTGTGTATATAATTATAATCAATCTATTGGTAAAATAAAGAGGAAAATAAGTAATAGTAACTAGATGAAGAGACGGCTGTATTCTTGCTCACTAATAACCAATTGTCATAATATTTTGTAACTAAAACAAACAGTAAATTTAGGTAGGTTGTGGGTTGAGTACATGGTACATTGTATAGGGGATACTGAAAAACTGTTTAACCATGGAAATTCTCTGTAAATTAACTTTACATTCAGCAGGGAACCTATTATAATATAATACTGTACATACATTTCATAGTACCATGGAGGTATAAAATCATTTGTTATACAACCATGGCAGTAGGCCTACATACTATTTAAATCAAATTAACAACTCCTTGGTTTGTTATTCAGTAAAATAAAAAAATAAATAAAAAAAAAGTTTAACTTGTATTTGAATAAACTGTTGACAACAACAGTTATTTCTGAAGAAGCAATAAAGGTTTTTGCCATCCAGTGGATTTCACTTTGACATTTTTATAAACACAAACAGTTTTGAAATGTAATTGCTGTGATTTCAATTACTTTTTTCTAATTAAAATTACCTTACAATTGCAAATTACATTTTTGAACCCAGTTACAAATTATATCCCATAACATTACAAATTCCGATTACTGTACCCCATGCCTGCAACAAACTTCATTACAAATATATACAAACTTTTGATATAGTGAACTTTTTCATGGTTGTTGAATGAGTAAATTTTAACTATTCAAGTGGAAATTTTATTTTTTAAAGTAAGACTTGGCATCTGTTTAAGCTGTTTCTTTAAATTTTACTAGCCAAGAAAAAGGAATGCTATTTTGTGCTACAAGTACTGTATTCTAAATTTTAGAAAGTAAAACTTGGAAAGAGACCTAGGGCACAATATCTTGCCTTGTTACACTCAACAAAATAAATATCTGCTAATTCTCATTCAGCTTTATGTTAATCTTTTATTGTTTATTGAATGTACTTACAGACATAGAAAATGCATCTTCAGGACAAGCAAGTGGTCAAGGTAGTAAATGATACATTTTTGTGTCAAATCATCTTTGAATTAGTATTTTAATTTTGTGAATAATCAAGATGAAATTATTACTATTGTTAATTAATTTTTATGAAAGCCATTTTGGGTTTCATGATAGGAATGGCAAATTTTAAGTTCATTACTAAAAGTGACCTTGTTTCAATTAGAACATATTGCTTTGAAGTTTTAATCTTGGTTCAACATTTTTGGCTTTACATTGCTTTTAAGTTCCAATTTTTAAAATATTTGCCATCTAAATTATTTGTAAACATTGACTGTTGTAAAAACATAAGAAGGTATTCCATAAAAATATAGTATTTTTCATAGAATAAAAAGTTAAAAAAAAGAAAAAAAAAGAGTTAAAAAAAGGGAATACAGTATACAACATTAAACATTTTGCAAAAAGAAAATCACCTCCGTTTGATTATTTGTAATTCTGAAATGGGTAAGAACTGTACATTCCCTGTACTTGATATACTTTCTAATAACATAACAGCCAGTTCAGAGCTTATACTGTTTTGTTTGTAAAGTTATTGAAATAAGATAGCATTATACATTAAACAATAAAAAATCCAGTAACTTGTAGATGATTAAACGTTGAAACCTCATCATGTTTACAGAATATTTATTTCTCAATTTTGATTTATAGGCATCTTAAATGTGTTTTCATACTCTGTTGGGCCTTGTAATGAAGGTAATATTTTGTCTTTCGTCATTCTTTATTATTTGTTTTTGCTTGATACTTTGTGTATGTTAGTTACATTTTACATCACCATGAGTACAAACATGGTGATGCAATTTAACTTGCTTTTAAAATTATATAAAAATATTAATATGCATACAACTTAAGGGTGTCTCGGTAAAACAATGGCATATAGATGAAAGATGGAAAAACTTTGTTGTGCCAATGGTTGATTATGAATTTATTGACATACTCTATGACATAAGCTTTCTAATTTTAAAATGTGACAAGGTTACAACGTCAATATCAAAGCAACTGATTAACAAATTTAGCCAATGCAACCAAATACAGTACTTCAGTCCAGCACCAACCATGGCCACTCCATTGGTCCTGAACTAACTTTGTTCACAGTTAAGGGATTTGCATAATGCAACCCACCTGAACTATATATAAAGTAGCAGGCAAAATTAATACAACATACCATATTCACTCATGCATTACATTTGACTAATGAGCTTACTATAATATCCTTTCACACAAAATAATAAGATTAACTAGAGCACACTCTGAAGGTGCATACCTACGCCCACATCATAATTCTCCACTGTATAAATTTCCTATACATCTTTTCTTTTCTAGAAAGTTTCGTTCAGATCCAATGATCAGTGTTTGAGATGTTTAGTTCCCGGACGTTTTCATTTTAATGGTCCCCACATCATCAACATACTCCGGAAAGTCACCAAAATTGCATACTTTTTTCCTTAGTCATAACAAACCATTCTAGAATGGTTTTCAGATTCATTTATATTTTTTCTTAGATATCTTGTACTGGGAAGTTCCCTTTAAATGATCCTCATATCCACACCCTACACTGGATTGTCACCCAAGTTTAATTATTTCTTTCTTGAAACATTACAAACCATTCTAAAATTTTCATTCAGATCCATTGAATAGTTTTTGAAATATTTAGGTCTGGAACATAATCACTAATAAAATCTTCCCCCCCCCCCTCAATTTATACCCAAATTTGTATCATCACCAAATTTTAATTGTCCTTCTTTAAACATGGTTAACTCCTTCCAGGAGGTTTTATTCAGATTAGTAGATCAGTTTGAGATATCTACTGTTTAGTGAACTCCAGAACTGTACCAAAATAAAGAAATCTTCCATTCAATGGCAGAAATCATTTGTGAATATCTGACGCATGTACATCTAAGATTGTAGACAGACTGCTCACAAACAGACAAACACAAAATAACTTGCAGAGATACTGGTAATAATAACATGAATGATAATATTCTGTATTTGGCCTTTGGCCTTTGCAGTACTGTGTTTCAGGCACAGATATGATTAAATTTTTGAATAGAAAATGTGATTGTGATTTTTTTCCCTTTTTATACATGTTGATATTTTTTATCATCATTGCTTTTGGTTGATTTTTATTACTTTTCTTTCTGTTATTTTAATTGATATTTAAGTTTTTTCTTTCTATTATAATATACAGTATGTTAATGAAATTACTATTGTCTTTGATTATTATGAACATTTTCTGTTTGTGTTTCTTTCTCACTTTATTGTACAGTATGTATAGAATAGTGCAATACTAGACCTGTTCTTTGTGTGCAAACAAATTGACTTAAAATGTATAATGCAAGTCTGATCGGGATATTTTTCCAACCACAGAAATGGGAAAATGTAGTCAATGAAATAACAATAATGTAGTTGTTGATCCTCCATTCTATTTGGAGTCACATCTTGATTAACATTTTATGTAAACATCTTTTTTTACAGACAAGGTTATTAGAAAATATCTGCTAAGTAGCCAACAGAAAGTGTGCCGCACTTCCAACCAGTTCACACCAGCCATTATTAATACAGAACACCAAGTAGACATTGTCAATATTTTCACTGATCTAGACCTACTAAAAATAAGTAAAAACAGAGAGAAGGAAGATGCTGCTATATTCACTGATTTAGACCAACTAAAAACAAGTAAAAACAGAAAGAAGGCAGATGCTGATATGTTCACTGGCCTTAGCCTACCAAAAATAAGTAAGAACAGTAACAAAAAAGATGCCACTCTAACAACTTTAAAGCAGGTTTTAGATGATATCGAATCCACACCTGCATGTAAAGCCCTAATTGAAGGTGAAAGCGGTATCGGTAAATCAACCCTCCTAAGGTATGTAGCATACAACTGGGCTAAAAAAGAATCAGATGAAATCTTCAAAGGTAAAATAGTGTTTCTTGTCAATATCCAGGATATTGACAAAGGTGAAACTATTTTAGATGCTATTTTAAATCAAATAAACCTACAGGGTTTTCAACTTGAAACAGGTCTCCAAAAAGATCCTTTATTAATTAAACGATTTATTTGGAATCACAGTAATGAAATTGTATTGTTATTGGATGGATTAGATGAATTGAAAGATTCTAGTGAGAGTCCAATAAGGATTTTTAAAAACCAAGAAATGTGTGAATGTAAAGTGATACTTACATCACGACCTGAAAACATAAATGACTTCATTAATGCAAGCAACTTGCATGTGGAAGTGAAGGGATTCAGTACAGATAATATAAGCAAATATATTAAGAAACACTTTGCTTTCTTTAGAGAACCTTTATTAGGAGACTCACTTATTGAGGAGCTTGATTCAAACGATAAATATAAATATAAGGAGGTATTTTCAATGTGTAAGAATCCATTGCTGCTTCTATCAGTATGTATCATGTGGGAAGAAAGGAAACATCTTCCAGCTGATAAAACTGATCTCTTTAAAGAGGTTTTTAGATGCATCTTGAATCAGTTCATTGACAAACAAGCGATTAAAGAGCAAAAAATCTCAATATTTGAAAATACTCCTGAGAGGTTTGTTAATGCAATGGCTCTATTAGGAAAGTATTTCTATAAAGGCCTAAAGAGAAATCAACTTTCAATAAACAGAAGAGAGATAGAAGAAGATAAAGAAATGGTTGCTCTGGCTTTAAAACTTGGATTTGTGTACAAAGATACACCAAAACTAAAATCTAACTTTGAAGAGATTTTTACAACTCGGCACAAGTTGATAGTAGAGTCATTAGTTGGATTTTACTTATGCAAACTATGTGAGACACAAGGGTCGAAGGATAAGTTTTCAAAGGGCATGGAAAGACTATTTGAGCCATTGACTGATAATGAATGGAAGATGATAAGCAGAAGTAAACATCTTCACATGACAAAAGTGTTTACAATTGGATTCCTAGGTTCTAATGCTGGCATTTTTTTGAGTCATTGGATAACTAATTATGTCTCAACATATCGTTCTTTAATGGAGTATTTAAGATGTATAAAAGAAGAGCATAAGGTTACTGTAGAAAAGGCAGTTATTGACCACATGACCAGGAAAAATTTAGAAATAGAGCCACATATTTATAAAATATGTAAATCACTAAGAAAATTTATCCATTACATTACTCCTGAAGTGGACATCAGTCAAAGAGAGCATTTCATAAAACTTATGATTAGAATTCATACATATTTGCCTGGGGCTGAATCGAAAGTAATAAATGCAGTTGAATGTTTTTGGAAAGAAATGTCATCTGAAGAAAAAGGCAGAATGCTTGCTCATATATTAATTGCTGTGTCAGATCAAAACTTGATTTTGGAAAAAATAAGTAGTATGATATGTGTCAATGATATTAACTATCTAACAGATGAATGTCAGAGACTGTATTTTAAATATGATATAACAGAATGTAGATTATCTTCTTTGAATACAGCTTCATATTTAGTTCATCTGTTCAGTAATGCTTCCCAACTTAGCAACTTTAAGTGCTCAAATTGTATTACAGGTGCTGCTATGAATGAGGTGATCCGAGACTGTTTACGGGGAGAAGTCAAGTTAGAATTAAATAAGCTTTCTTTCAGTGATAATAATATTAGTAACATTGATTGGTTGCCATATGCATCCTTATTCATTACTCCTAAACTAAATACACTGGAGATGAGTAATTGCAGTCTATCAGGTGTTGTTATGAATGATATGATTAGAGCATGTTCTAGTAGAGGAGTAAATTTGGAATTAGTGGAGCTTGATATCAGTGATAATAATCTCAGCAACATTAGAGGTTCTTCATTTGCATCTTTATTGGCTATCACACCCAAACTAAATAGACTTTTCATGGTTAATTGTAGTCTATCAGGTGTTATTTTGAATGATATGATTAGAGAGTGTTCTAGTAGGGAAATGAAGTTGGAATTAGAGTTACTTGATATCAATGATAATAATCTCAGTAACATTGATGGGTCTTCATTTGCATCCTTATTCATTACTCCTAAACTGAATGTATTTTACATGAATAATTGCAGTCTATCAGGTGTTATTATGAATTATATGATTAGAGAGTGTTTTAGAAGTGGAGTCAAGCTGGAATTAGAGTCACTTGATATCAGTGGTAATAATCTCAGTAATATTGATGGGTCTTCCTTTGCATCCTTATTCATTACACCTAAACTGAATTTACTTAACATGAATAATTGCAGTCTATCAAATGTTATTATGAATGATATGATTAGAGGGTGTTCCAATAGAAGATTCAAGTTGGAATTAGAGTCAGTAGGTATCAGTGGTAATAATCTCAGTAATATTGATGGGTCTTCATTTGCATCCTTATTCATTACACCTAAACTGAATTTACTTTACATGAATGACTGCAGTCTATCAGGTATTATTATGAATGATATGATAAGAGAGTGTTCTAATAGAGGAGTCAAGTTGGAAATACAGCAGCTTACTATCAATGATAATAATCTTAGTAACATTGATGGGTCATCATTTACGTCCTTATTTATTACTCCTAAACTTAAATCACTTGGCATGCGTAATTGCAGTCTATCAGATGTTGTTATGAATGATATGATTAGAGAGTGTTCTGGTAGAGGAGTGAAGTTGGAGGTACAGCAGCTTTATATCAGTGGCAATAATCTCAGTAACATTGATGGGTATTCATTTGCATCCTTATTCATTACTCCTAAACTATATTTACTTGACATAAGTAATTGCACTCTCTCAGGTGGTGTTATGAATGATATGATTAGAGAGTGTTCTAGTAGAGGAGTTAAGTTGGAATTACAGCAGCTTTATATCAATGATAATAATCTCAGTAACATCAATGGGTCTTCATTTGCATCATTATTCTTTACTCCTAAACTGAATGTACTTTACATGGCTAATTGCAGTCTATCAGGTTGTATTATAAATAATATGATTAGAGAGTGTTCTAATAGAGGAGTTAAGTTAAACAATTTAAACATGCTTAGTATCACAGGTAATAATCTCCATGACATTGATGGTTCTTTATTTACATCTTTAATCATTACACCTAAACTGAATACACTTCTTATGAGTAAATGCAGTTTATCAGTTGGTGTTATTAATATAATTACAGATTGTTCTAGTAGAGAAGTCAAGTTGGAATTAGAGGAGCTATATATAAGTGCTAATGATCTAAGTAAGATTAATAGTTCTTCATTTGCATCCTTATTTATTACACCTAAGCTGAATGAACTTGTCATGAATAATTGCAATCTATCAGGTGTAATAATGAATGATATGATTAGAGAGTGTTGTAGTAGAGGAGTCAAGTTGGAATTAGTGAGACTAGATATCAGTGGTAATAATCTCAATGACATTGATGGTTCTTTATTTGCATCCTTAATTAATTCACCTAAACTGAATACACTTTTGATGAGTGATTGCAGTCTATCAAGTGTTATTATAAATGATATGATTAGAGAATATTCTAGTAGAGGAGTGAAGTTGGAATTAATGGTGCTGTATATCAGTGGTAATAATTTAAGTAACATTGATGGTTCTTCATTTGCATCCTTATTCATTTCACATAAACTGAGTAAAATTCTCATGAATAATTGCAGTCTATCAGGTGTTCATATGAACGATATGATTAGAGAATGTTTTAGTAGAGGAGTCAAGTTTGATTTACAGGAGATTGATATCAGTGGTAATAATCTCAGTAACATTGATGGTTCTGCATTTGCTTCTCTATTCATCACACCTAAAATGAATACACTTGACATGAGTAATTGCAGTCTGTCAGGTGTTATTATGAATGATATGATTAGAGAGTGTTGTAGTAGAGGAGTCAAGTTGGAATTAAATGAGTTGTATATCAGTGGTAATAATCTCAGTAACATTGATGGTTCTGCATTTGCTTCTCTATTCATTACACCTAAACTGAATACACTTGACATGAGTAATTGCAGTCTGTCAGGTGTTATTATGAATGATATTTTTAGAGAGTGTTCTAGTAGAGGAGTCAAGTTGGAATTAAATGAGTTGTATATCAGTGGTAATAATTTAAGTAACATTAATAGTTCTGAATTTGCATCTTTATTCATTACAACTAAACTGAATACACTTGATATGAGTAATTGCAGTCTGTCAGGTGTTATTATGAATGATATGATTACAGAGTGTTCTAGTAGGGAAATGAAGTTGGAATTAGTGGGGCTTGATATCAGTGGTAATAATCTCAGTAACATGAATGGTTTTGCATTTGCATCCTTATTCATCACACCTAAACTGAATACATTGTTGATGAATAATTGTACTCTATCAGGTGTTATTATAAATGATATGATTAGAGAGTGTTCTATTAGAGGAGTCAAGTTGGAATTACAGGAGCTATATATTAGTGGTAATAATCTCAGTGTCATTAATGGTTCTTCATTTGCATCTATATTTATTACTCCTAAACTAAATACACTTGACATGAGTAACTGTAGTTTATCAGTTGTTATTATTAATAATATCATTAGAGAGTGTTCTAGTAGAGGAGTGAAGTTTGAATTTAAAGAGCTTTATATCGGTGATAATAATCTTAGTAACATTGATTGGTCTTCATTTGCATCCTTATTCTTTACACCTAAACTGAATACATTGAACATTAATAATTGCAGTTTATTAGATGTTTTTATGAATGATATGATTAGAGAGTGTTCTAGTAGAGGAGTCAACTTGGAATTGAAAGAGCTTTATATCGGTGATAATAATCTCAGTAACATTGATTGGTCTTTATTTGCACCCTTATTTATCACTCCTAAACTCATTATTCTGAACATGAGTTATTGTAATCTATCAGGTGTTATTATGAATGATATAATAAGTGAGTGTTTGAATAGAGGAGTCAATTTGGAAATAGTGCAGCTTTATATCAGTGGTAATAATATCAGTGACATTGATGGTTCTTCATTTGCATCTTTATTTATTACTCCTAAACTTAATACACTTGAGATGAGTAATTGCAGTCTATCAGGTGTTAACATAAATTATATGATTGAAGAGTGTTCTAGAAGCGGAGTCAATTTGGAATTAGTGGGCCTTGATATGAGTGGTAATAATCTCAGTAACATTGATGGTTTTTCATTTGCATCCTTATTTATTACACCTAAACTTCATTTACTTTACATGAGTAATTGTAGTCTATCAGGAGTTATTATGAATGATATGATTAGAGAGTGCTCTAGTAGGAGAGTGAATTTGGAATTAAGGGGCCTTGATATCAGTGATAATAATCTCAGTTACATTGATGGGTGTTTATTTACATCCTTACTTGTTATTACACCTAAACTGAATCATCTTAACATGAGTAACTGTAGAGTAACAAGTATTGTTATGAATATTATTACCAGAGAATTTTGTGGAAGAGTCATGTTGGAATTAGAAGAAACTTGATTTTTGTGGTAGTAGTGTCAGCAACATTGGTTTTTGACTAAATAGTTTTCAATGTGAATTGTATTCAGTATTGTCTACCAGTATCTGTTTTTTATTACATTACTGCTAAACTGTGGTTTAATATGGCATGCCTTGACGGACATTACTGTGTCCAACTCATATCACTCCTACTGAGTTTAAACATCCCTTCCTATCAAAATTATTTACAGGTACACAAAAATTTACACCAAATAAATCCATCTGTCACTGCCTGTCGAGTTTACACACATCCCTGCAGGTCGAGTTCACACACATCCCTGCAGGTCGAGTTCACACACATCCCTGCAGGTCAAGTTTATTAATACAAATCATTACCTGTCCAGTTTACACCCATCTGTACTGGTCTTAACACAAATCACTACCAGTCATGATTACACACATCCCTATCAGTCCAGTTTACACACATCACTTCCGGTCCAGTTTATTAAACACAAATCACTACCCGTCGATTTTATACCAATCTCTACCTAAACACAAATCACTAATACATTGATAGTGACGAGTAATACACACATCAATAGCGATGCGATTTCTTGTAGAGAAGAGCCATAACCATATAGTGGCGATTTCGCAAGATCTAGGTCAGTTTTTGGGCCGAGCAAGAGAAATTCAGCAGTTGTTTAGATTAAATAGATGCTTAAAACAGAAATGCTGTCAGGTGATCCAAGAATAACACCATCTTGATGAATGGAGAAATATTGCAAATGCAAGTAATAATTTGTACAGTTAAAAAGCTGCTAAGGATGCTAACCAATTGTTTTATTGTATATTATTGACTGGAAATAAAGGAAACAAGTTACAGTTAATATTGTCTCACAATTTATAAATAACACACACCAATATTACAAATTTATTCAGGCACACCAATATAACAAATTTATTCAGGCGCATTTTAATTCAAACTACATTAAAAGATTCACGACTGAAAAGTTTTAAAAATTACCTGTTGCCCTTATTGTAAGCTAGCACTTTTGAATTACATTCCGATATTTTTGGTAAACATTTCTTTGTAAGCTGTTTATTTCTTAGGCTGTTTATGTTTGCATGACTCCTCACTTTATAGTGGCTTTTTCTATGGTCCTAAGAGTGATTACTAAATTTAACCAACCAACTACTTAGACTGTGGTATAGAAATCTATAACTTTTTGGTTGTACTTCATTATAATTGTATGCAACAATCCAAATTTTTTTACATGACTTGAAAAATAAAAGTTGGTATTGCTAAAATTCAATACATAAAAAAGTCAATGTTACTAGTTGTGTATAGGTATTCATATAATTATTACCTAAAGAATTGTATGTAATTGACGGTTCACACACTCTGCGCGTTTTTGAGTGAATAAATACCATAGATTTTATACTTTATTGATACTGTAAAACTATTTAATTTTTCAAGTATGGTTTCTTACGGCAGAAGTTAACAAATTTTCCTACCGTGAACAACATAAAAATGTATTTTTTTGAGTAGTTTATATATCTCCTAGTAGTGGTCAGTGTAGCTGCATAGCTCATTGTTACTTAAAAATTGTTATTTCTGGATTAATTATGTTCAGAGTGTTTGCTATAATATACTATCCCATGACACATGATGTTGGTGGTCTTTTTTTCCCCTTTTTTTTTATGACAAGTCCATATAATGAGGTTTTGTATGCTGTTCAATGCCTTTCTCATTTTTGTGAGGGTTTTAGGTGAGTTGTATTAGGGAAATTTTATTGCCAATAATCATTGGGTTTTCTGTAATTTTTTATAGGCCTACATATATTTTAATTCATAATGCTTATTTTATATACAGTTTTAATTTTGCATGACCAACCTCCCTTGGACAAAAAAAAAAAAAAAAATTAATTAATTAAAAGAATCCCAGACTAACCTTTTCAGGACCTGTGAGCTGAATATGTATGCAACTACTCTATTTTTTTAAATATAAAATAAGAATGAGAAAAATTTGCCTGACCGTTTTAAAGAGGGGAAAAGCTTTAATTTTGAAGAACTTAAAAGTCATTAAAAGACATTTCAGAAGTCGGTAAAGCTCATTTCGCGCCATCTAGAAATAAAAAATAAGGCCTATTTACAGTAGTGATAATGAGAGAAATTTACCAGACCATTTTCAAGAGGGGAAAACTTTGAATTTCGAAGAACTTAAGTGATTAAAAGACACTTCAGAAGTTGGGAAAGCTCATTTCCCGCCATTTAGAAATCCTCACTTTTTTGGATTTATCAATTCATGGACAAAAGAATACGTATTTAACTACTCAAATTTTTTTTTTTATGTATGTAGGCCTATACACACATAACAGGCCTATATACTGTAATATGAATGAGAAAGTTTACCTGACTGTTTTCAAGACGGGTGAACCTTAAATTTTGAAGAAATTAAAAGTCATTAAAACTCACCTAGCTCAAAAGTCGGGAAAGCTCATTTCCCGCCATCTAGGAATAAAAATTTTACCAGCGTAAGACCCCCGTCCCCCTTCCTTTTTGAGGGTTTTGGTAAACATTTTGACCCCACTCCTCTAAATTTGAACCCAGACCCCTGATTTATTTTCCCATTCATCTTACTAGTGGGGTGCCCCCTTTTTCAGAAAACGTTCACCAACCCTGTCTTGTACAGTAATTTAATAAGTAGGTTTTTATAATAATGTGTAATTGTAAGTAATGTATTTTGTACAGGCTTACTCAATTACTACTGTATGTATTAAATGTTATACAGTACTATAAATTTAATAAATAAAATAATTTAACATTTTACACATGAATACGTGCATAAAATGCTGAATTTCTATTGTACGTATTAATTGTTATACTGTACAAATAAATAATATAGTACATAGGACTAATTACTACTGCTGCTGTGTATTAAATATTATACTGTATCATAAATGATTAAATATATAAGTTACACATTAAGATGTAAATTGGTATACTCAATTGCTACTTTATATAGTACATATTATGTTCCGATGTGTTTAAAATTACTTGTTTACAAAAAAATGCGGAAAACAGTATCTAAACCAATTACTTATTCCACTTTTGATTAATTACTTATTGACTTTCTCAGTAGTACTTTTATTGAAAATGTTTTATTGTAGTGCGCGAAGTATATAAGATATAAAAGCAAATTTTATTCCTCCATGCTTTTATATACTTTACATTCATATTAATGAGTATGTAAAGCAGTTAACTATACATTTTGCTTAAACATTATAATACAAGTATATACCTACCTTAACAGTTATAATTAGGCATACACTATTTATATACTTACCATTTAATCGTTAAATAGTTTTTCTTTACCTATAGTTATATTCTTATACCAATTCTGTAAACTATTTGTAAAATTCAATTCTTTGTATAACAGTTGGCAATAATATATTTTTGATTTATGTTATATTACAAAACAGAATATAAATATAAATATTTGATATGTATATTTTTCACATTTATCGAAACTATTTATTCTTAAGTGTAATTATATATTTACTATTACAAATTGTTAAATAAGTCAATATTCTTAAATCAGTTCTAGTCTGTACCTTATTTGTTATTGTAAAATTAAATCTTTGTATAATAGTTGGCAATAAAATAAAAAATAAAATATTTTTATGAATATAAATATGGGATATGTATATTTTTCACATTTAAAAATAAAATTATGAAAAGTCATGTTTCTATTATGACCAACTAACGTTATTACAGAAACATTTTTGGTTGTATCATTTCGCTATAAAAGATGTACATTTGTGTATTCTATATTCTTAAAATAATTACGGGTGTTACTAGATTACAAATGAGTTTGGATCAGGGCCGTATACGTGGGAGCCGCTCCCCCCCCCCCTCTTTTGTACACTGTTAAAATTTTAAAGCTTGTTCTTGAGCCAATACAAATTCTTTCCTGGGATCACGCAAAATGAATACTTCTAAACATGTACAGTAATTGTGCATCAGTACTTATACATATAGGCCTAATAGAACACATAGGCCTAAGCGTGATTTTAAAAAAATGTTAAATCCGTAAGTCTCAGGCCAGGTCTTTTAAGATAGAAATGTGATACTGATGGTTCAGTTTGGTTTTTATTCTTTTACAAGTTTCTTTAATAATACCGTACTACTACTAGTAGTAATAATAATAATGATGACGACGATGGTGATGATTAATTGGTAATAAAAGATCATGAGAAATTTGTTGGCGTTTCATTTTGACTATATAATGGTGATGTGATGATGATGAATTTTACTATATAAAAGTGTCATTTCCAGTCATCTAGAGGTACTATTTCCTCAAAGTTTTGAAGTATGTAAAGTACATACTCAAATACAATGTTTTAAGCTTTGTTTTCTATGGTACATACACACACAATAATACGATCTCTAGTAGTTGGAACATTTACACTTTGGCCCGTATTGTGATACCGAAAGTATTATTATGAATAATGGATGGTGTTCAAGTAGTTTTAAAGTGAACAGAGGCATTAGACAAGGCTGCCCTCTATCCGCACTATTATTTATCATTGCAACAGAATGGCTGTAAGACTTAGACGTGATAAATTGATTAAAGGCATTATGTTACCACGTGTAAATGAAGTGAAAATTACACAACTTGCCGATGATACGGTTCTATTATTAATGATGAAATCAGTATACAAAAAAGCTTACATACAATTGTGGAATTTGGAAAAGTTTCTGGACAAAACTAAACAAAGAAAAAACAAATGCTACCGGTATGTGGTTAGGACAATGAGAAAAAAGAACTGATAGTCCATAGGCCTACGATATCAAATGGGTATCAGATGCATTCAAAATCCTCGGAATATATGTTGATCATGACCATGACTTGTGTTTTAATAAAAAAAGAAAAAAATTGGCTTGAAAAAATTTAGTCTTTAAAAAATATACTAGATACTGAACATGGCGAAAAAGAAATTTAACTATTTTTGGAAAAATTTTAATTCTAAAAATACTTGGATTGTCTAAATTAATGTACAATGTAAGTATTATTGAAACACCTGAAAGAGTCATTAAAGACGTTGATCGCATTGTTTTTGACTTCATATGGGATTTTAAAAAAAAGGAAAAAATAAAAAGATTAACTCTCATGAATTCGTATGAGTGCGGTGGTATTAGGGCCCCTGATTTTAAATCCCAAGTGCTTTCCCTTAAATTATCTTGGGTAAAACGTTTGTATAATGAAGAAGTAGCAAATTGGTAACACTTGCCAATGATGTACTTTAATAAGCTTGCCCCAAGAGATATAATTGAAAATATATCGCATATGAATTGGAAGCAAAAACCCTGTAAAAAAATTACACGGTTTTTACTTGTCATTACTTCATGCATTATCCCAATGTAAAAAAATTAATAATGAATAATGGATTTTCTCTGTTACATAGAAACTGGATTAGATCCGGTATTCGCAAAATGAAAGATATTGTGATTGGTTACGACTTCATTAATTCAAATAAGCTATTATTATTGTTAAATAATAAATCAAATTGGATATCAGAATTTTCTAATTTAATGATGGCAATTTCACAGGAATGGAAAAATATTATATTCTCAAAAAATGAAAATGTAAAAATTGCTGCAATATGAACAGTAAACAAATTTATAATTGTTTTTTTTTAATAAAAAAAATGTTTAGAACCTACAAATTTTCAATCAAAGTGGCATAAATTTTTTAATACAGAATTTGACTGGGAACTTACCTGGTCATGGAAAGTGAAATCTATCAAAGAAAACAAACTCAAACAGATAATAAAATATTGCGCTGTATTGTTCCTACTAGGAAAAGTTTACATACATACTTTTAATCTTCACGAGTGAAATAATACAATATAGGCTAATATATTATCTTTATTGTAATTCAATTTTTATTTTATAACGTTTCTTCGTACATTTTTGTTGTTAATTGGTTATTTCTAAATAGGCCTATCATAGATTATGTGATACGATTCAGTGGTAGACTCTGAATAATGCTATCAAGATACCAGTATTGCTATTAAGTTCTTAGTATGAATAAGTCATAGGTGATCATGTAGATGGTTTAAAAAAAAAATATGTCTGTCTATACTTTTGAATGTGTCGCCACATTTTAGAAATCTAGGTATGAAATTCAATTGTTATTTGTTTATTAATAAAATACCTTGATACTGTATTAACTTTATAATATTTTTTATCACAGACATACTTTCAAAAATTTCAAAAAATAAATTGTAACATAAATTTGAGTAAACTTAAAACAGCGTAGGTCAGTTCGGTAAATGAGTGGCTAAGCCGTAGATAGGCCTATGCACGGTTCTGCTGACGAGTCACAATGCCCTCAACTTAGTCTAGTTCAATTTCACTAATGCTGTGTTAAAATTCAGGTTTATTTATTATTTTAATGACAGTGGCTATTGTTAAACCAGTATACAAATTCCTAGTTATGATTGGATACTATTGTAAGAATGGATTTGATTAGGACAATAAAATATCCAATCAGAATTAGAAATTCTATACACAATTTGATTATCAGAACAATTAATAACGTATGCCTAACTAATTCAATACAAACTGATTTATTTAATTCAATTTAGCTTTAAATCTGACTTGTTACAAATATTATTACATTTACAATATTTCAGACATTGTTAATATAAAAAAATAAGAAAAATTTAAAATCTAACAACTAAGATATTTTTCTGGAAAAAATAAAAGTCACTATTTATTGCGGCGCACCAGTTCACAGGAATATGTTTAGATTAGGTATGTCCATCAGGACTACAGTGTGCGATGATCAGAAGAAGATTGTCGTGCAAGATTGATGTGCAAGACTGAAGCTGCTACTTTAGACGACCATCTACTTCAGTGGCAGCCCCCGAGGCTCGAAGGGCTCGATTAAGCAGCGTTTAGAATCATAGTCTGTGGAGATCAAAATAAGTTGTACAGGAAAATCAATAATAAATTTAAAAGAATAAAACAGCCATCTAGCGGGCTATTCCTTGCCGCGGTGACTCTCGACGAAACAAAATAATTTTCCTATTTATTAATTTTATAAATTGATTTCTTGGAAGAGCAAAAAGTTGGGTTTAATTTTACAAATTAAAGTGTACTTTTTAGTATCAACTTGCTCTCACACTTACACGTCAATCACATTAGTATATCACATCACAAACGATCAGTGTCCGCTTATAAATATAAATTTGGTTACATGTTTCCTCGCAGTCAATCGCATTATCTTGAGCTCAGATGTTTCCATTTTAACAGACGTTTAGGGGCAAAACTTTAGCTTTAAGCATTAACACATCTAACTGCATAGAGTATGTGGTAATTTATTTACTCATTCGCCTAAGGTAAGTGTAATAATTCGTTTCCTCATTAGTATTATCTATACACTCGATTTGCATTCATCAATTCTTGTTCATTACTGATTCTAATATTCTAATACAACTACGTATTAATTTCTAAATTGATAATTTTCTGGCCTGTTCACTTCCACGGTACTTACTTTGACATCTGCTTCCTGAATAGCATCGATTACAGATGCATGAATAAGAAGAGCCTGACCTTCTACAGATCCCATTCACACAGGGATTGGAAGTACATGGGTCTAAAGAACACAAGACGTAAATTATTCAAGCAATTCTTAAAAATTCTGGTAGAAAACTCAGTAAAATGTTTTGTAAATAACTTTATTATTTATTATTAATAAATTTATTTTAATAACTATTTTGGTAACAGAAAATTAAAAGGGATCTGTTTAGTAAATGTCAATTAATTTGCAGTTAAATATTGTTTGTGTTTACTAAGTCTATTAATTAACATGATTGTATTATTAAACAGATTTTAATGATAATAATAATAAAAATAATTTAAAAAATAATAATAATAATAATGATAATAGTAATATCAACATATTAACAGTAATTAACAATATAAATCTTACATATATTGATATTTATATTGATAATAATTCAAATAATAATTATGATAATGGTGATGATGAATAATAATATTATATAATGATAATAAATTATATATTACCTATAGGATTAAGTGCTGGGCCTCCTATGGATTTAATAAATAATAATAAAATAACCATTAAGCATAACAATAAATAAAAAAAAATTTATATTAACCATATTTTCAACATGAATTCAAGGTAAAATGTTACATAAATAATTGCACATGTGTTCTATGAATTTTTATAAATCTGAGAAAAATAGATACGAGAAAAGGTGAAAAATTCAATACGAGAATAATGAATGTTTACCTGGTGGTCCAGGTGGCCCAGTGTTTCCTTAAAAGTATAAATAAACACTATTAATATATGAATTATTACAATTAATAGGCCTATATATATATATATATATGTATATATATACACACATATCTTTATATACAATATATATATATTTATATATATATACATATATATATATATGTGCCTATATATAAAAAAAATCAATCACATAAAAGTAGATTCTGTGAGTGTGAGAAAAATTACCCAACCGGGATTTGAACCGGAAATTCTGGACAGTCTATAATAGATGTATGCATAGATAATAGACCAATCATGTTACAGTTTTATAGGTATTTCTCATTTGCTCTCTGTCACCTTTATTTATTTTTGATATTTTTTGATAAGACAACCTATATTATATTGATTCATGATGTTTTCCATTATTCTCGCTGATGAAGGCCACAGGAGTGGCAGAAATATCCGAGTTTATAATAAATCAGTGTTCTTAAAGTCTACTACTGAAGATGTTTCATTTTTTTCTAC